CCCCGGCTTGCGGCGTCCGGCGGCTGGAAGCCGGGCTGGGTTTCTACCGGGGTCACGCTCCACCTCGATGATTTCCCTACCCGTCGCAAGCTGTCTCCGGAGCTTTCTTCACCCCTTTCGCTGTCCGGGCGCCTGGGATGGATGTGGCTGCTGGGAAAGCAGCTGTGCACCTGGGGCTCACAGGCTTCCCTTTGCCCTGCCTGCCTTCGCCTGGTGTCTGGCTGCTTCCCTGACTTGCTCCACAGCCCTTTCCAAGTCCGCATGTGCCCAGAGACAGCACAGCGCCCTCCGTCCCCAAGGATTTGGCAGACGATGGCACGGCCCCAGAGCCAAGGCCACCGCCGCCTGGGCTGGCAGCACTCAGCAGTGCCTTGACTTTGACCTCGTGTTGGAAGCACGTCGACCGCCCACGGGGCGCGAGCCGGGCAGGGGCTGGCCACTGGGCCTGGAGGCAGCTGCCCTGCTCCATAGGAGGGGCCCTACTGCGGTGATTGTGGAGGCCAAGGTCCCCTCCAGACCCCCGTTGCTGGGGATTTGGGGGGACCCAGGCCTTCCTGCAGCACTGTGCCCATCACCGTGGTGCCTGGGCCCATGCCAGCCCTTGGCTCGGCGCTGGTCTCTCTGACGCCCCCCGCCCCAGCTGCTGCCTGCTGATAAAGACCCCCGGCTCCCCCGCGGGCCCAGCCGCCCGCTGTCCCCGTGAGCGCCGCCCTTCCTTCCCGGCCCCGCTCGGCCCCTGCGCGCCTTGCGCCTGGCGGGTTTCCAGCCCTTATCGCTGCAAGTCCGACGCAGGCCGCGGGTTTGTGCGGGCTGAGCTCTTATCTCCGCGCAGCCGTGGGGGGCGTCGTGCAAAGCCCCGGCCCTGGGGGAGCAGCACCAGGGGGGCTGTCAGGGCTGCAGGGAAGCGTGTAGTTAAATGTGGGGTGTGGGGGTGCAGAGAGCTGTTTCCAGCCCTGTGTCCGGCTAGGGAAACTGAGACACAGGGCCGCTCTCCGTGCTCGTGCACTTCCCCACCCTTGGTGTCTCCACCAGCCAGCCCAGCACCCGGAAACCTGCTGGCTCATCCCACCCGGAGGAAACAGGCTGCTGTGTCTGCATCCCATTTGCCCCCGCTGGAAGCCACCCCAGGGCTCAGGGGCCATGACTAGAGCTGGCACCGCTGAGCCCAGGGCTACCCCGTGCCACCTCCAGGTCCCTTCTGCCTGGAGCGGAGATGCACCTGATGCACCATGCAACCCCATACGGGGCTGGCGTTTGGTGTGCCTGGCTGGCTAGGACTGAGACCCATCACAGGTGGCTGAAGTCCCCACTGCTTCCAGTTGGCTCTGCCCTATGGGTCCTGGAGCCCTGTGGCCCTGCGGGCAGAGCCGCGGGTTTCCCAGAACAGGCCCTGGCAGGGGCAGGGTTTGCCAAAGAAAGGGAAATCCCAGGGCAGGCTGCAGCGGGCCGCTTCTTCCCGGCAAGCGAAGCAGGGGTGAGCCGGCTCCAGCTTCCTTCTGCAAAACCACGGCACCGTGCTGGGAACTGTCCTGGGCAGAGGCTGGGCATGGGTGTGGGGCACAGCAGGGGTCAGGAGGCCGCTCACAGTGCTCCATCCTCCCCCTGGCAGCAGAGGCGGGCAGCCGTGTGCTCCTTCCTATGGCATCACTCCAGACGCAATCGCAGCCACTGCGACCAGGTCCGGTGAGCTGGCCGCCCCCTCCGCAGCGTGCCCACACCGGGCTCTGGTGAAGTACAGCCGTGGCAGATGCTGGTCTTACAAGGGGCAGGGGTCTGTGGGCCGGGGCAGGAAGGAGAATGATTCTTCCTCTCTCCTGCCCAGAGCCGTGCTTCCTCCCTTCCCTTTGCTGTTTTGGGAAGGCGTGGGTGCAGCCGGGAAACCCCTGCTCGTGGGGCGGTGATGC